GTCTTACGTTCCTTGGAGCTGTAACATGGAGAGGAGTTATGCTGATTTTTCCATGGTTGACTGCCTATTTTAAAATTTATATTCTATGATTAAATTATTCTTGCTATTCTTCACTGACTGCTCTTTGTAATTAGCCAAGTTTCAATGCCACATTCATATCGCGTGATTTGTCGCCACAGGCTTCCTTAATTGTCTTTAGCTCACTGTATCATCTGAGTCGAGATCTTTCATTTAAGGGTCTACATCCCTATGAGTAAAATCCATCGCTGCTGAAGTCCATTGGTCATGTGTCAGTGGTGTGATGTGACCAGTCCATTACCGTTTCCTTTTCTGAAACTGATACAATATCGTTCATTCTTTCGCGCCTACTGATTTATTCTTTTCGCAGCCCGTCTTTGATAGAAATTCCTGGCAACCTTCTTTCCATAGTCCGCTGCTGCATCCTTAAGAGTTCTTTATATTTTTCCCGTAATGCCCAGGTCTTACAACTTAACTGAGCTGTTGGCAATATGATGTGGTTCTAACCGGAATTAATAATCTTCTATTTTAAATAATGTCAATTTCTTCAGTATTTGTCGCCGGACGACGCCTCCTAGCAACATCTGGACCATAAGAGTAACTAAAACTCAGACTTATTCTCTTTGGTTATTATCGATGATCACGGTAGCTGGTTGCGAGAATTCATTAAATGATTAAAGTAGTCAACAGTTACGCAACGCAACTTGCTGGTGGACTCATGCTTTAGTTGTAAAGGTTCACTCGGGCGAAAAGTGACGTTGGCGATCGAAATACTGTTCGTTAAGTTCAAAATCATATTTGGGAACAGGCACGGAGAGTTCAGTAGTATACTTGCTATGACTGAAGAATTTTCAAACGTGTCGTATATATTAAATAATGATATGGCAGCCATGTCGTAGAGGTGTGGTTTGCACGCGTTTCAGTGAACCCCGTAACACTGCCGGCGGAAACGTTGGTTTCTGCAGGAACCACCCATGCTGGACCGATTAGAGACCTGACTAACTGGAATAAGCAGAAGCTGTAGCAAATTACTGGCATCCATTTTGGAGAATAGAATGAAGAAGAAATCAATGAACTCTTGTATTGCATCGATCCCCGCGTAGTATAAACTTCGTCACGATGCAGATTCAGTCAAGTCTTCTATAGCGTACTGCATAATCGTCAGAGAGCATAATAAACCATGGCGCCACACTATATATGGCAATAACAACGCAGGAAAGAACAATCAAAAGGGATATAGCTGAGTCTCTCGCGAAGGAAAGTGCGTAACTAACCCCCAAATCCATCATATCCGCAACATACATCCGTCAGAAGAAATGGAACAATGAAATGGATATTAAAGTCATTGCAGCATATCTAACAGTTACAAAGGGCGATAGCGAAACGCGTGGTTACCAAAAAAGCATTCATTCAGCACTGAATGAAATGCATCCCGGAATGACACTAAATGAACATAGGCTATCAGTCAAGTCAGAGTGATAGCTAACCGCATGCTCCTATCAGGAAGGGAGATACTGAACCTCGAGAATGAAGTTTTACTGGAAATAACCATCGATGCTAAAATTAAAGAAGACTACTTCCCTCAAAGGAGCGAACTTGCAGGCCTTGAAAGAGGAACAACAACAAGGAACGAAAAAGTTGTACACACAGAGGAAACTAACCAGATGTTACAGTGACGAAAGACATGGCTGATGGACTAATGGAAATCTTCGAAAGCATCAAAGTAAAAATGAAAGGAATCCCGTTCTGCCGATGCCTACGAATTCCAAAAATCCCGTATGATCGCGGGTCGATAAAACACATGAATACGGCAGATTGTACCATTTGGTACATAGACTCAAACTACCGAAGAGGGCGATAGACCTTGAAAGCCGAAATAAAATGCGTTCAACTGAGCTATGGAAACGGCGGTACGGAGAGAACATAAAACAACGGTGTACCGATACTTGGATCTTAACCCCTGCTTGAAAGATCCAACAAGGCAAGTGGAAAGATAAACTCAAAGTTGAAAACGTATTACTAGAACTTGGGATTATGAATATCTCAAAAGGACTTCCTGTTTCGCCTTGGCGAATGTACAACATTTCTTAAATGGAAAATCATGCTCTAAATAGAAAATGGCAGAAAAGAAAACAGACTAGCTATGTCCTGAAAGTGCTAACGATAAACTCTAATAGGACCTTTGGATGATCTTTAAAACTTCTCTGAATTTCTTATTGGCAGAACTGTTAATGTTCAGGTTCACAAATGAATGCAATGGACAAATATCCCACAGGTGGAAAATCTAAAATAATTTGTTCATGCATTACAGATCATACTTTCCAAAATTAGAGCATTTATGACATTAGGATAACTGTGAACTTACATGTTCCTGGCCGTTTCACTTCAAATTCGCCGTGATCTGGAACAAAATGAGTCAAAAGCCTGAAGTAAGGAGTCACCATTTCCATGTCTTCTGTAGACACTTGTGATTCATCTTCCTTAAGGAATATTCCACATCCGATGTCTTGAAGACCGGTACACTTTATGTACCACCTACATACAACATCGTCAAAAACGAAACGCTGATCGTATGGTTAACAGATTTGCAGGAGACTTATTTTTGAGTTACTGAAGTTCTTTAATATGCATGTATTTGATTTGTCAATAAACGAAAAACTGTGGTCACGATATTAATTCTTATAATCATAGTTCCTCAAGAAAAATGACAACATCAATCATATGTAGCTTGTTCTTCAATTTTCTGCGTTAACTGATTTAGGATAAAGTCTTCGTCGATCCAACGTCAAATTTTAGGAGACGGCGATACTGCATTACTGGATCAAGCATCAAGAAGTAAGGCTAAATTTATTTTGTTTAGATCATTTCACTATTCCATGAAAGTATGTCATCAATGCCAAAATGAACACTGAGGAAATGACAGTAGGAGTAGCAGATTTCAACATTATTTTCAATTCCACATGGTAGATCTGTCTTTGAGAAAATTATTCCAGCTGCAAACACAGATATTCCTAATGCATCTAAATGACCGCTTCAAACCACCAGACATCACAAATGTCTACAATTGCGTTGATTGTGATAAATGAAAAAATTCTAGATTAAGGGATGGAAGACATCTTCTGAGTTCACTGTGAATGGGG